ATATACAGAATAGTTTGGATAACTATACTGCCAATTTCTGCTCATCTTTTGAAAGGAGCAGTTGATGCTTTTATTTTTATTTTTTAATTTTTTTCTTTTTATTCTTACTGTCTTTCATTTCTTATGCCTTTTTTGTTCTTGGTTCTGTTTTTCTTTAAACCAATCTTGCACATTTGTAACTGGTAACCTGAACAACTAATCTGAAGATAACATCATGCAACACAGCAACCATTGTTGAATTCCTATTACTTTGTTTAGTGGAATTTCGTATCATTTCTAATGCCTTTTTCTATTACCTATTTTGTATTCTTTAATTTTTTTTAAAAAAATACATGTTTTACTCTGTATCTAACTGGGTTATCTAAGGTGCATATGCTTATCTTCTAACATCATCGGTTTTCTTTGAAACACACTATACTTTGTGTTGTATGTGTAAAAGCCCAGAAGGCCTGTAGCTTTCACCAGAGTACCGGAGAGGCCCGGTACGAACATGGTAAAACTCAGTGATTAAAACCTGTGGTTGAGCCGCAGCCTTCGCAACACCTGGTGAGCCTCTGACAGCGGATGTGGGATACAAGGGGAGGGACCGGCTGGGATGCTCAAGGTAGTAATTAGCAGCAGCTCAGCGGACCTGCCCGCTCCCACCTAGGGCTGAGACAGGCTGGGCAGGTTTCTGGGCTGTGGTTGGCCTGATGCATTGTTAACCTACAGCCTGAGCTAGGATTGCATGTTGCGTGGGCTAGGACTCCACAAGTCCTGCCCCACTAAGGCCAGGAGAGTGGTAGGTTCTGTGTGCACGCAGGGACAAAGGAGCTGGTGTAGCAGGGGCAGGGGTCTCAGAGGCTGAGGTTCCTGGATCCTTTTTTTCTTTTCTCCCTTTCAGTGCTAGAGATAGAACTTGGGTCTCTGAGCTACAGTTCAAGCCCTTTCATTTCTCTTTTTTAATTTTGAGACAAGGTCTTGCTACATTGTCCCAGGCCAGTCTCAAAGTTGTGATCCTCCTACCCCTTCAGTACTGAGTACCTGGGGTTTTTTTTTTTTTTATTTTTTTTTTAAATTTATTTATTTATTTATGTGTGTGTGTGTGTGTGTGGCCAGCTCAGCCCACCAGGGGGCGGGGCTGGCTGGCATGTGGTGCTGGAGGATTGAACCGCGGTCCCTGTGCTTTGCTTAGCTTGTTTGCTCTAAGTAGGTGCTTCAGACCACTGAGCCATCTCACCAGCCCCAGTACCTGGGTTTTTAACATCCACCATATGGCCTCAGCCCAAGGCTCCTGACCCAGTCTCTCTACTTTCCTCTCATAGGACCATAAGCAAAGGCTCTGTCCCCCCAGGCCCCTGTTTTCTGTCTAAATGAGGAGAGGTTACATGAGGCTTCTACTCTAGGATTCTAATAAGTAGTCAAATACAAACTCAGGGTTTAATTTATTTTTTAAATTTTAGTTTAATTTACTATTTCTCAAACCAGTATCTTTTCTGTGTTTGTTTTTTGAGTTTTTGAGACAGGGTCTCACTATATAATGCAAGCTGGTCTTGAACTCACAATGTAGCCCAGGCTGGCCTAAAACTCATAGTGCTCCTCCTGCCTCCACTTCCTAAATTCTGGGATTACAGGCGTGTGTCACCACACCCGGCTGCCATTATCTTTTCTGAACCCGTATGTGCCTGTAAGAATGTAAGGACTGCTATAGCCGTCCTTCCCCACAAAAATGTGGACAGACTTGCATATAACTTTATAGCTAATTTTAGGGGTTCAAAGACTTCCCCAGAGCCCACTTTTACTTGGACCTAGAGGTAAAGACTGGCCATTTCAGGCCAGGCCCCTAAATTCCGGTAGGGTAGGCTCCTTAGAGAGTGCACTGGGCTTTCACTCAAACCCCACCTCTGCATCACAATCCCAGGAAATAGTCACAGAACCTGAGTTTCTATTTCTTCACCTTTGAGGCAGGGATTTGAGATCTGAGAATTGGCACATCAGGGACCCGGCACACTGCAGGACTTGTCTGCACCCCTGCACCCTGCAAGAACAGTTGCTTGGCACTGACACAGCAGCTCCTGATCATCCACGAGCCTGGCCATCCCTGAAGAGTAAGTCACCCAGATGTCCTTGTTGCCAGGCCCTGGGACACAGCTGAGGCCCTGCAGCAAGTTTGTCTAAGCTGACATGCTGAGGAGGAAGGCGAGGCTTCTAGGAGAGCTGGGTCTGCTCTCCTCTTAGACAGTCCATGCTGTCCCGACCCTGGCCAAGATGCCAGGGGATCCCTCGCTGGACTGCAGAGGCAGCAACCCTCCTGCTGATGTGCCCACTTGGAAAGGCTGACAGGAGCCACTGTGTTCAGGACAGGTGGGTGACACAGCCTCACAACAGACCCCCTGTGATGGGGACCCATGAGGCCCAGGCTCTTACGCATGTGCTCATTCTTTAATTTCAATTCTCATGGTTTCCACAAAAGCCATGTGAAACAGGCAGGGTGCTCTCATATTCAGAAGGAGGAAGCTAGTGTTCATAGAGCTCAAGCATAAGCTCTGTATAAGGTCACAGAGCTTGGTTGGTCACAAACTTGGCCACAGAACCCTGAAATATAAAGCAACGTACTTGCTAGAAAACGTCCGTTGGTAGGCAGAGTAGCACTGTGGGAAAGGCACAGGCTCTGGAGTCTCACAGACCTGGATTCCAGTGATTTAGGACAAGTTACCTACCATTCTGAGATTTGGGGCTTCCCATCTGTAAGATGGGACCATACTACCACTTCCCACTGATTCCTTCACTGGGCCTCCTGCATCCCAAGGAGCAGAACTCTTGACTAAGGACCCAAAAGATGGGGATCAGAGGAAACTGTGCAGAGGACACTCCTGCTCTGACCTCTGCAGGTCCTGGCCCTGCTTGCCTCCCCCGTTCCACCCACTCTGCAGCTCCACTTACCCAGCACAAGGAAGGACAGGACCCACTGTAGTACTGAGATGACCTGCAGCTGCTTTTCCACCTTGGATCTATTCAGCCAGGTGACAGAGAAGAGATCCTGGAGGGCGGAGAGGATGCTGGAGCCAGTACCTGCAGCACAGGGAGATGTCAGGCTACTGCTACCCTTCTACCCAGCCACAGGGGCTGCAAAGCCAGCCCTACTCCCATGGGGTCTCCCTAGATGTGAGGCACGGGCCACAGGATCAGACACATCTGAGTTTAGATCCTTACCCTGCCATTTACACGCCTTCCTGTGTGGCAGTTTCTGTACATTTACAATGGAAATGGCATCTCCCTTGTTGGGTCATCAGGAGACCAAATGCAGTATCTAAAGAGGTTGGTCCAGGAGCTGGGCCTTGAGGAGTCTTCTAGAAGGGCCAGTTCTTGTCCCTTCCCTCTGCCCCAAACGCCCATCCTCCACCTCTGTCGGGAGCTTGCACAAATATTTAGTTTCTGCTATCAGTGTCTGTGAAGCCAAGGACAAAGGTTCAACATCCCGTGTGTAATGTTTTTTCCTCCAAGTGTACTTTGAGCATCTTCAGTCCCTGCCCTGCCCCCTTTGTACCCAGGACTGATACCTTTTTCCAAGGAACTGAGCCTCTTGCTCCCCCCAACCCCGACCCCCAATCCTCCGCCTATGCAAGGCAAAATATGCATGTTCAACCTCATCTCTGCCCAAAGCTTGGGACCCAGACAGGAGCAAGGTAGGAGCCTATGCTTCCCTAAGGGACCCAGTGGCCAGAGATCTTCAGGTACTTTAGAGGACATAGAAAGCTGTAATTATGTTTGCTGCCAAGCAAGTGCCAAGCCTGGAAGTGAGAACAAAATGTATCCCTGAATTGGCTCTATGGCTGGGCCCCGCCCCCCAGAAATGCCTTCGACTCCAGCAGCTGATATGCAATGTGGCCATGAAGCCTGGTGCCTGTGGAAGGCAGTGCTGGGGCGAGCATGAGAAGCCCTCGAGCCATGCTCACTGGGTCCAGTGCTTGCTAAAGCAGGGCCACTCCACCCCTCCCCCGGGGAGCCCAGCCACATCGCCTTTGCTCAGCACATCTTCACTGGGTGCCTATTGTGTACCGCCAAACATTCCTTCCTGCTACCCACTGTACAAGCCTAGCGCAGATGACTCAGTCATCTTGTCCTTGCATCTCATGGCCTGGCCTGCAAGCTGGGGGTGGGGAAAGAGGGTTTTAGAAGTTTATACTCAGGCCGGGAGATAGCGTGGCAGTCTAAGCGCCTGCCTGGCAAGCGCAATGACCTGGGTTCAATCCCCGGTACTGCATGCTGTGCCCACCCCACGTAGAACTGGCCACCAAAACCAGGCATGGTGGCCCATGCTTGTAATCCCAGGGCTGGGGAGGCTGAGACAGGAGGATCACTACAAATGTGAGCTGCATAGCAGGACCCTGTATCAAATAAATAAATGAATACATAAATAAAAGTATGACCATTTAAAAAACTAAAAGCTTATACTCAAGGCTTTGCTTTCCATCAAAATCCACTGAGCAACAAGCTCACAGGAGAGTTTGGAAAGGGATACCCTTTCTCACCTGAAAGCTAACAAATGCTTTGACTCTGGGGAAATGCCAGGTTTCAGAGTGGACACACCAGTCCTCCCCTTTACCAGTTCTGATGGACCAGTAGGAGGGGCTTGGTACAACAGAGTGTCAGACCCTTGGTTCCCCCTCATTTTGTGTCTCCAGGCAAGAACACAGGACTCCCTGCTAGTGCATGGCACCTACCAGATGCTCAGTAGCATCTACTACTCCACAGGTACAACTGGGATAGAGCTGACAATATGCACGTAAGTCACCAAAGCAGGAAAGAGGCTGGGCCTCAGAGCCATTCCAGAGATTTGGCTTAGCACTGGTCCTTTCCCCCTTTATAAAAATTCTACCATCACAGGCCCTGCCCACCTCTAGATTTGTCCAAGAACCTATTTCCAGGGGCTGCAGGGCCCTATAAGGTTATTAGGATACCTTCTTAGAGACTGAAGCCCAGAGAGGAGCACTGACTGTCTTGAAGTTAGCCAGCTTGATGGCAAAATATGGACCCAGGATGCCTGCCTGCCCCAGCCCAGGGCATCAGCCCTCTCCCTCACACAGCTGCTGTGTGCAAAGGGTTCAGCCCATGAGACACAGCAAGTCCAGCAGGATGCAGTGGGGCCTGGACAAATGACTTAGTCACACATAGCCTGATGTCTTTCACGGCCTTTCGCCATGGCCTCCATGTAAAGAGAGGCCTGGATATATACGCGGGAAGGAAGCGAGGTCCAAGCATGGGCCCGAACCCCCAATTCCAAGCTGTCAGCAGCAGGCTCTGCCTCCTGAGCTGTGCAGGATGAAGTGATGCAGGACCCGGGGCTGCAGCAGTGGGTTATGGGAAGGTGAATCCCCACTGCATCCAGAGCAGAACAGATGAAAGGTACTCTAGCACTTTGCTACCCAAAGCACAGCCTGGCAACTGTGGTATCTGGTCACCCTTGAGCTGGTTAGAAAAAGCCAGATCCACTGAGGCAAATCTGTATTTTGACGAGATTCTGGGTGATTAAATGTGCAAAGATTCAGGTACAGAAAGATTAGAATAAGGGAGAGAGGTGGGGGCTTCTACCTTCTCCAGGGCAAGAAGTAAAGGTAACAGAGCCTCAGACATCTCATGGCTCTGGCTTCCTGCGGCAGGTAGGACCCCTGTGGCAAAGGGCTGGAGCAGGGCTTCATTCAAGGTCATGGAGCATGTAGCCCCACTGTGAAGACAGCCGACCACAGTTGGGGGCAGCACTCCAGCCTGGGGCAGGAGTACAGAAATCCCTTACTGGCGACAAACTCCACTGAAACAACTGAGAAAACCTCTTGGATGGACATAAGGGTTGGGGGCTCTGCCAGGTCCACTCCCCCAATCCCCACCTGGCTGGCCACAGGCCAGCCCAGGAGCCAGCCTGTTCAGGAGTGCTGACCCTCAGATTCCAATGGCGGCCACAGTGGGCCTCAGAGACACTGAGGAGCTGCTCTCCTACTTAGAAGGCCTCTCCCTGCTCTGTCCACTGGATGATCCCCTGACCATGAGATAAAGCAGCACATCCTTCAAACCCTGAAGAGGGCATCACATCCTCCAGGAGGCCTTTGGAGCTCGAAGGACCATGCAAGCCTAGCTCAGGCAAGCACTTACTCCACTGAGCTATCTCTCCAGCTTTTTTTTTTTTTTGGTGGTGGTACCAGGGATCAAACTCAGGACCTTGCGCTTGCCAGGCAAGCACTTATTCCAAAGCCTAGATCAGTCAGGTGCTGTCTTGCTACCCAGGGAGACTTCTCTGCCTCAAGACGGTCAGGAGAGACCGGCAAAGGGAAGAACTAACTGCCCATCATAAGTGGATTCTCACATCAGACTCTACGCTGCCTGAGGTCCAGACTCGGGTCCAGTCTGCATCCAGGTGGCCAGTGCGCTGCCAGGGCCAAGGCTGGAGTAGGCGCTGAGAGGGATTTTCTGGGTGAGAGGAATAGAAGGTCCGTGCCCAAGAGGACCAGAAAGCTTCAAGGGGCCCACAGCAGGTGCACAGGCGCTGGAAGGCCTGAGTTTGGCATCACAGCCCCATTTAAGGTGACACACGGGCAAGCCTCGCAGCCAAGGAGAGGCAGAGGCAGACTCAATTCAGGCCCAGCTTTCAGACCTGCGCCTGCTCCTGCTGTTGGTCCCGTACTCTTCCTCTCTTCTCCACAGTGAAGCTGGGGGATCCTGGGAGAGACGGGAAACGAATGCCCTATTTTCATTTAGAAGAGAGGGCCATGAGCAGGCATCCTGGGCACGATAAAGCGAAGCAGCGCCTTAGGGCTCTGGTCCCAGCACTGCCAATGACCCTTGTGTCAACCTGACTAAGTCACTGCACCTCCCTGGACTGTCCCATCTAAAACTGGGACAAGGAGGATACACGTTATGATCTCTGGGGCCTGCCCTCCCAAACACTCCTTACTAAGTATTGCATTTGAGACCTACTTCTCAGGGTTCTATAGCCATTCTGGGCCAGTCTCTGAGCAGCCAGCAAGTGAGAGTTTGGTTGGGCACCCCCAGGCCACTGCCAGCCCTTGTCAGCCAGCTGTCAGCATTTCTGGTCCCCTGTCTGTGGCTAGGAGGGGTCCAGGAGAAGCTGGTGGAATGCCAATGCTGCAATCTGATGCTGCCGCCTTCACACCCAGCCTACTTCTGGGTGGGGTGGCAGGAGCCTCAGCACCAGCCAAGTCCCCATTCCAACCTGGCCCTTTTCCACCCTGGCCTCCCTGGGCACACCCACCATCTCTGTGCACTCTCTCATAGTACCAGGCCCATTTAACAGCCCATGTCTATTTATTCAACCACCTCCCCTCTGCCAGGGATTCCTGGGTGCCAGAGCTGGTACCTAACTCATTTGGGTGCCCACAGCTCAGCAAAGCCTGGCTTCCTCCATGGCTGAACAAGTCCATAAGCCCAGAGGCAGCAAAGACCTCAATGCCCAAGTTAGAATGGGCTACCCTCAAGAAGATGAAGCCATACAAGCCCTGCCAGCCTTGCCATGGTATTCTCTTGCCTCCCATAAACACAAGTTGTCCTGCCTGTGAAGAAACAGAGCCCCTACACACACACACCTACAAATGTCTTTTCTTCATAGACAAGACAGGTCCTGGAACAAGGTGAGCGGTGCTCTAAAGAAGAGATTCCCAACAGCCAATTCAGACAGCTGTTGCTGGGCTCCATACAGCTCATCTGCCCTCCTGGGGAAGGCAGCAGGAGGAGAGACACCAGGAAGGCCCTCCACAGCCTCCTTGCCACTCAGAAAGCAATCCCTCCCCCAAGTCAGTATGGAGCGCTGCTGTCCTAGAGCACTGGCGAGGCGGGGGCTGGAGCCTCACTTCACAGACCCAGAACCCAGGAGAGGAAAAGCCACAGGGGCTCGAGCCACTTGCCTCTGGTTGGAGTATAGGAACCAAGTCCTAAGGCAAGTATGTGGGCCCCAAATCCCTCGTCAGTCCTATGATGCCATGTCACTGAGGATTTGTCCCCACTAAACAAGCCAGGCCACTCCCATACTTTAGGAAGAGACAGTCTGGCTTAGGAGGGCTGTT